TCTTCCTAAAGGATTTCAAATGCTATTAATTTAGCATCACATTCTAAAAAAAGCAAAAAACATTTCAGTGATCCTTTTTATAGAACTTGTGGACGCTTTCTTCTTATGAGCAATTCATCCATCTGGCGTGGCTGTGTATTAGAAACGAGGTCAACCACACTCAAACCTAACGAAAAACCTTCTTAGATATACTTTATTCAGGATTATTTTAGGTCAACCAAACCAATCCTTATAACATACAACCTTACAAAGATCAACCACACTCAAACCTGATGAGAATCTTGTTAGGTACCTTATTTAGGATTACCTTACGTCAACCAAATCAGATCCTTATAACATAAGGTTAACCTGATACAAATTCTAGTTGAGTTAAACATTTCGCCTTCTCTCGAATATCGTGTCCGCGCTATATTACTCTTATCGCGGGAATCGTGATCGATTGCGACTTAGCCCTGCTTAGCATTTTGGTGCCAACGCACAACAGCGCGGTTTGATAATGATTATTCGACGATTTCTTTTTCTACAATGCTCGAAAGGAGATTGAACGCTCGTGATGTATTGATGCTACGTAAATTTTATTTATTATATATTTTATTTATTATTTTTCGGCTGGAAAAGTTTCCTCGAATTCGTGTTATCGAATTCGTGGTATCGTTTGTTCGTGCCTTACTTTATTGATCGAACATTTGCGAGACGAAGAAAAATCGTGGAGTCCACTGGATGTAACATAAGAAGAAACAGAGGCGTAGCGAAGATTTATTACGCCCTTGGTGTAAGGAAATATAATATATTGGCGCTCCTCTTCCTCTCAAGAAAAGTCTTTTCTACAATAATTACAAGTTTATTGCAGTATAGAGCTGCAAGATGAAAAATGTCTTCTAATCTATACATTTAAACATTAGTATATTAGAAAGTACAAATATTTTATTACTTTTAAAGTTATATATGTTTCAAAAAAGTTAAAATTTCACACTTTTCTCACTTTGGTTACAGCGAATTCATTAATTATATCATCCAGATTAATTTATGAGAACGCTTTATGTTCAATTGATAATAAAGCAAGACTGGTCAATCTTTCTTGATTTATCGAAGAACGAATAATTTTTTATCAATTTAAGCTTGCTGAAACAGCGTTTGCAAAATGTCACGGTCACTAGTAAAAAGCGTTTTACGATCGTAATTTTGGTACCCTGCTAGGTGTGCACCCCTAGCCAGTTTCGCCAAGCAATCCCTCGCTACACCTCTGATGAGAAATAGTAATTATGGTATTAATACAAATAAAATAATTATTTTCATAAAATATATAATTTGTTTTTGTATTGGATTTCTATACGAAAAATGTGGTGTGTGTATGAAAAAATATGTATATCTATGTGAAATATAATATATTTGTAAGTACAATCTTTAAAAATGTGTCCATTTAAAAATATTAAAATTGTCACCTAATCTCATTTTGGTCAATCTACTCCATATAGCCATTTTTAATAAAAGAAATTGTATTCACAAACTTCAACAGGATAATGATTAATTAATTGTAACAAAAATTTTTTAAAAACATGTCATTTTCTATAAATGCAGGGATATCGCGATTATGCGATTATGTGATTCGGCAATCGTTTATTCGGCAATCTATATACAATGTTCTTGCACATCTTTTATACAACAAATTAATATCATATCAGCAATCTACAGTCAAGAAAAGAGATTTTTCTGCTGATACTGATTGAGTTATAAGCAATATAATAATGCCAAAGACTTGTCAAACAACAAAATAGGTGATAAGAAAAATTTAATCACCAACTTCATTTTCTTAAAAATTGTTATAAATAATATACAGAATATTTTTTAAATAGCGGACACTAATTATAGAATTTCTAATTAAAAATTGAATCGAAAAGTTCTCTACAATTTTGCAATTTTCGCAATCATTGATGGAATATTAATTTCAAAATATTGCTGAATAAGCGCGTTCGGCTGCCCAACCATTAACTATCACGAAAATTGCAAAATAGTAGAGGATTTTCTTTATTCAATTTTTTATTAGGAATAGCATTATGTGATTCGGCAATTGTTTATTCGGCAATCTATATACAATGTTCTTGCACATCTTTTACACAACAAATTAATATCATATCAGCAATCTACAGTCAAGAAAAGAGATTTTTCTGCTGATACTGATTGAGTTATAAGCAATATAATATATTATATGATATATGTGATAGCACAAACTATAGAAATCAATGCCTTAAACGATCTAGGATCTTAAATGCTTGTGTGAATTTATATATTACGTACGTAATCCTTTGAAACGCGCACCGAAATTATTTTTCGATTTTGAAACGCTAACTCTACTAAATTACCGCTAACTCTACTAAATTAATTAGCAATTTAACAATTTGATGCTTTTTCGCATCTTCAAATCTTAATAATATATTGTCTGAATGACATATTAAAATCTGTAAATAATTATTAATTCTTATTGCGAAAAATATCTCAGCTGGCAGTCGAATCTGGATCTCTGATTTTTGGGGCGAGCGTTCTAAGCCTTTAAGATCACCGAGGCTAATGACATGAATTATAAGCATTTTGACAATCAACTTCGTACGACAATCATCCCCGGTTTCCTCTACATTTAAAATTAAATAAATAAATGTTTATCGTATTCCACGTGTTAGGGATTTACTTAAAAATAAACTGTTTCTGATTTTTGAAATGATTACGAAAACATGTTAATAAAAAATAAATACAATAATAGAGCATATAAGAGACTAAACAACAAATATTTTTTTATATGTTAAAACATAAAATCATATTCTAATCAATTATAATTAAATTACGATATTACATGTTTCGGCCTTTCAATTAGGCCCTCTTTAGATATATTAAACGCAAGAGGGATGTTATCACTATTAACACTGTTATAATCAAACAATGTTAATAGATATGAAATATATTATAAACGTATGTCGTAAAACCGTTGAACATTGCACAAAAGAACGAAAATTGCTCGCCAAAAGATTGGAAGACCGATTGAAAAGAATTTCTTGATGTTCTAATAAAATTATAAATTTCATTAATTATCATAATATAAAAAGCAAGCAAATGCGTCACTTTGGTAAAATACCAATATATCCAATATATTAATACCAATGATATGATACTTGTCAAAATTTCATTAATCAATGTGATAATAAATAATATATAGCCGTAGTCAGAAAGTAAAATTAACAGAGTCATAAACTATGTAAAAATTGAATTCTTCAATAAATAAATGTTAAATTAAATAAAATTGAAACAAAGATATGAAATCAGTTCAGTAATAAAATTAAAAATGTATAACATGTAACATCGTATTTTAATTATAATTGATTAGAATATGATTTTTATTGTTTATCTCAAAGTTCTACAGTATTAAGACCCATTTGATATCGATAAATTTTATAATTACCTATAGTACTCAATTTTTTCAATTTTTTTGAATGATCTAACGTTAATCAGCAGTTGTAAAAGGAAAATGAAGCATGTATATATCCATTTTATGTTGATTTCACTGTATCAACCTATTGTAAATTTGAGAAAAAGTTCACGGTATAACAGATCTCATATTATTATATAACTTCTGGAATCGACTAACATCAAGTTTTGATTTCAAGTTTGAAGTTGCTTGAATTCAGACTGTATCTTGCTATTATTCTTCTTGCCAACATGCGAGTACGACATGCGCTTTTTATATTTTAATTTTTGAACATCTTGCGTAGTTATCGGTAATATTTTTAAATTTATTTTTTAACATTGAAAATGACCTGATAGGAGTCGAAACGTCTGTATGAATTTTTAGATTATTTATAATAATGTTGTACTCACTTAATATCCAGAGTGGTTCTTAACCCTATTTTACATTGTTTAATTTATCTAATTATTTGAACCGTTATTATTTATTGAATTTTATTTTTTAACATATAAAAAAATATTTGTGGTTTAGACTCTTACATGCCCTATTATTGTATTTATTTCTTATTAATATCAAAAATCCTTTTTTATTATTATTAATAAAGATATTAAAACATGTTAACAAAGATATTTAAAATATGTTAATATTGTATAAGAGTGTAAGACTAAAGGTCAAAATAAGTTATATATCTTATATCCTGATCATTTTAAGAAATTTTTCTTTTTTTTTATATTTAAAATTACAAAATATACGAAATTTTTATAAACATATCAACTAATTTAGAATTTTCCTGTACTTTCAGGTACACGGTTTTTAATAATATAAAAAAATCAATTTTTTAGTTTTAAGCAAGTAAATGCAGAGAAATTATATCCTCTCTTAAAAATCTAAAAAAATTCTTAAAAATACTTTAGTACATGTAGTATATGATACCATAAAGGAAATTTTTGGTTGGTAATGAGATTTACTTGTAAACAAATATTTTTTTCAAAATATTTGTGAATTTTAACTCAATCACTACAAAACAAATCGATTTTTTAAGATATTTTCCTTTACATTTAATTTTTTAATGTATTAGTACTCAATTATTTATTATAACAATCGTAAAAAAATTTAACTTTGAAAAATTAACGTTTTTATTCAAAAGTATGAAAAATAAAAAATTCATGTCTATAAAAAAATGTGTGTACATATTTTGTAATTTTAGCTGCAAATGTCAAAAAGGAAAAATTTCTTAAAACAACTATCTTTAATATTTTAGATGTAAGACATATAATATCCACTTAATTGTTTTTTTACTTTCAACCTTACACAATATGTACACTCATATGTTTTCACGATTATTTAAAAAATAATTTATTTTTAGATGGATCCCTAACACATGAAATGCGCCATATATATTGTATTTAAAGTTTGACGAAGGAGGGGAGAGAAAGAGAGAGAGAGAGAGAGAGAGAAAGAGAGAATAAAAAACAGGCCTTTTACTATGTTCGGTCTGTCGAATGATATGTACTACTAAAATGTTTTAAAAAGACATTCCATGTTTTAGCTATGTCTTTGGAGGAATCACGGAGATCACAACGTCCGTATCGATACGGGATGGTCTTGCTATGTGTCGGAGCTCTCATCAACTGGTTGGGTTTAGCAGAGAATTATGTTGAACCAGTACGTTACGTCGGTGTCGCCTGCATAGTTGCTGGGGCTCTACTCATTTGCGCCGCAATGTGCTGTTGGCTACACGCACCGCCAACTAGGACGAGCATGCATACGCAACACACGAACCATCCGATTACGGCACAGGTAATTCCCAGACTGTCAATCTGGCGAATGTATTTACTCCATCAAGCAAAATTGTCGTTTAGTTCGAATTGAACTTGGAAGAAAGTCATTTCAAAGAAGGAATTAAAGCTGTGGGTGCTATGACTCATATTAACGCAAATCAATATTATCAGTTTTCTGATAATTATTACTTTTTTAACTCTGCCTTCATCGTTATCACACAAAAACGTGTTTCGTATGCACTTTTAAAATGCGAGCAATAATAATAATAATTATTATTAACTCCTTATATTCTACGAATGTCACGTAATTTTAAATCGAGTAAACATCGATCAAAAGTTATACGTGGTTTTACAGTTTATTACAATTATTAAGCTTATAAAAATTAAAAAAGATGTAACAATAGCACATTGTAATTTAAATATTCTAAACTTCTTTTCTAATTAAACCTACTTCTTGAATCATATATAATCTTAATAATATTAAATTATATTATTAAATATCATAAAATTATTGAAATAATTAATCATTATTAGTTATATCTAAGTGTTCTATCTATTTTCTTACGTAACATATTTGTGCCATTAAAAACAGAATTAAATTAGATTCAAAGTTTTAAAAGTTTTAAAATTTTAATATTTCTTATATATGTGTATATCTTACATATAAATATCTCTAATCTTACCTTTATTTGTTATTATTTATTATTTATTTCTTTATTAACTACATTTATTTTATTCTTAATGCAAATGATTTTGATTTTGCAGTAAGACACACGTTTCGGATATTTATACTAACATAATTTCGCCAGACATTCTTACATCGCCACTATACTATTGCGATAATAAATGTCTATCATACATAATAAATCTCTTTAGGCCTGATCTGAAAAGATGCAGGTCGCGATGCGGTTGAAGGCTCCTGAGATTAAAACGTTTTTAAATCGATTCAGGTCAACCCCCTATTATAGACCACAAAGAACGCGTATTATCTATAGATATACCGTAGCCTAGCAGTAAGCCGTAATTACCAGCGATGGTGGACAGAATAAGAAAAAGCTTAATAATATACTTACGATCTATATCTCATACTTTTTTTCCCCTGTCGAACGGTGCCTGGCGAGAATGATATGAAAAAAAGGAAAGCATAAAGATAAAAAGAGTACACACTTTCATATATATCAGATAATACACATCATAGTGTTCATAAATCATTAAAATGTTGAGTAAACATGCCCTGTGTTCGTCGTATGTTTCCTTGTAGGTAAAACATGTTTGCAGACATTGTAAAAATTTCAACAGAAGCACTCTGATCGCGAGACTTGTAAGACTCGTGTCATCTACGGCGCGAAGTCACGATTACATCACGTTATTATCATTTCCTCCTTTCGATTTCGAATAACGGAAATATTATTAACGATTCTACCTTTGATTTTCCTTGAAAATCGGTAATTGATCCTCCTTTGTAAGAGATCAGTATTATTGTCAGTATGTAACTAGTATTGATGATTCATACTCTTTTTTTTCTATTATATCCAACGTATTGTTATCAGCGCAACTAATCAGCATTTATCTACTATTAGGAACAATTTTAACATATCGTAAGAGACAATTTGAAAGTATTGTATAGTCAGCCCATTAGCATCCTTTTAGCACGAACACGTAATATTTAATATCTAATATCGATAATAACTAATAACTATTTAATGAAGTATATAATTAAGATTGTACACCGATAATAATATTTAATAATAATATTTAATATTGACAATAATTAATATTTATCTAATAAGATATAATTGGATCGTATATTATAAATTTTTATTTTTCTCTCTTTTATTACGATAAATATATATTAATTATTGTCAATATTAAATATTAAATATTATTATCGGTGTACAATCTTTAATATTTATCTAATAAGATATAATTGAATCGTATATTGTAAATCTTTGTTTTTCTCTCTTTTATTACGAAATATATATTTTTCGCTGATTTTCTTCGCTACTTCTTCTTATTGTTTTAGCCAGTGTTATTTTAAATCCGTAAGACATTTTTTCTGTGAAATTATCGGCGAATATTCTCTATGTAAAATAAACGACCTGTCCATTTTCAAATGTTTGCCTGTCCGTTCTTTATGCTTCGTTACATTGTATATGCAAAAAAGATATAGTGCACGTCGGTAAAGGAGGTCGTGGTAGAGTCTCTAATGTCGATTGCTACTAGAAGGATATTCACCCGGAAACATGTACCAAGCTATATTTATCATTACTTGTCCTTGGACATGTATATTGTATATAGATTTGGTTAAAATTCATAAAACGTCCGTCTACAATTATATTTTTATTTCCTTCTTTTGCAATCTGAGTCTTTTTTGTTCAATCCAAGTTTTTTTTTTACTATTCTATTAGGTTTTCAAGAAATGTAAAAAAATTCAAGGTTACTTCAATATCTGTATTACATTATCAAATAATTTTTGAAATAAAATGATAAAACTTTTAGTTAATAAAAATTAAAAGGGGGGAAAAATGAGGGTGAAATTTAAAAACAAAATTTTGTTTGTGCCAAAAAAAAAACAGACGAAAGATTAAATTGACAATCTAAAATAAATTTGATATCGAAACGCTGCATCACGGATCACAAAAAATGTTTGTTATCAATTATGCAACTTCGAATTAAATCTTACACATGTTTAGCTCTTAGTTGTATATTGAGGAACGTATAAGGCATCGAATTATTACATTTTCTCGATTTTATTCACGGCATTTATCACGCAATTCTATCTATTCTTACTAATTGTTAAGTCGAGTGTTTCCCAAATCGAGAAAATCGATTCTCTGCAGCAATATCATTCCTTATTTAAATCATGCGTAATTAATTTTCTCGTGAAAGCTTGATAACCTTTGAGATAACGACTTATCGTGACATTGCTTTTGAAAAAGGAAACGTGATATTAGAGAAATGTTTTATTTAAATTTGATCATTGAAAAATGTGATGCAATTGCAATTTCTGTAATTTTCTGCTCTTTCAACAGTGAGTGTGAGTGATGTCAAATACGTCAATAAATTGAGAATTCTTCATATAAATTTAAGGAAATTATTGACTGCTCGATGCACTTCAATTGCAAATCAATTGATTTTTTAACAAATATGTAACGACCACAGTGACATCAAATGTATTTGAGAATTTTTCGCATAAATTTGGAAATTATTAATTGCTTGACACAGTTCAATTGATTATTGGATAAAATATTTGCAACAAAATTAATTTTGTCCATCTCTTACGTGACAGACATGCTACAATGATCTCAATTACATCATCCAACATTATTTTTTCGAGATTCGATTATCATGACAATGTATTTATATGTTGAAATGACGTGTAATACCAACAAGAAACGTCATTTCCATGTCTGATATGTCCAAATATAAACAGCGTGGAATGTTGTTTCTTCGAATTTTCGAGGTCACGTTTGCGCCTACAGTTCAGAGATAATCGAGTACATTTTAGCAGAATAGAATTTCGTCGCGCCGCGAAAAGAGGGGATCTCGGGGTCATAGCCGTTCACCTCGTCGTTTCCACTTAGACCGATCATTATGCAATTTTCCAGCGAAGCTTTTTTTTTACCACCGTAAATAGCCACGGCTATTCTCGTCGAGCTCGCGTCTCATACGTCACCCTATACGTATCTCGCGTGCGCCCTTTCGCGACTTACATTCAGCCAGCCACAATGCTTTCGAAGAATACCGAGAGAGCTAGTACGTAGATATCTATAGACGACCTACGACGAATATAGCGCGATGTGCACTTCCGGGTGAATATCCTTATAATGCGGCAAGTAGAATATCGCGGGAACTACGAGGCCGGCACTGGCAGGTCGCGATCTGGATACTTTAAATAGACTCCGACGACGGTGTATTTCCACGATGATTAACTGTGCAACATATTTTTCTTCGAATAAATGTACGTTCGTTATCATTGGGGAATTTCAATTATAATATATTGCAAAGAGTTGCTTTATAAATCATAAAATTAAATTAAGAAATTTCCTAAGTAGAAGAACAAGCCACGATAAAATGACATTAAAATGAATAGGAAATGATTGAAAAGTGACTTTTAATGATCATTTTGTAATCATTTTGATATCATTATGATTTGTTGTTCTGCTTAGGTTTGAATTATTTAATTTAATCATTCCTTTTGTGAATTTCTGAAGCTATATATGGAAAAGACAATAACAACACCTACAGAATACTTTCGCATCTCAGTTATTTTATGAAATTTCCGAAATTATAGGCTAATTGTACATAATAAATTATACAATATCAACACGTGCGCATCAGTTCTTAAATTAAAAGAAGACAGTTTTCTCCTTCCTTGAATAACAATTAAAATAATATTCCAATAAAAGAACGCAATTATTATAACGAACTTTCTAAAAAATCCAACAACAAACGATTAAGATTAAAATAATTGACATGAATTCTTGAAGTTAAGTAAGAAACGTTCGAATGCGAAAATAAGCAATAAAGCTATGCAATGCGGCAAAGTTATGTAATTGAATTCTATGATACGCTGAAGTTAACTCAACCGATCACCTCCTTTTAAAGATCGATGACCCGATCCACGTGATTTCTATCGAGGAACCGCCTGGCGTGTCGAGGCAAAAACCACCGGATTACGAAGCGGTGACGGATGCACCACCGAGCTATGATGATGCTATCAAGTTAAATCCTAGTCAATTAATCAGGTTTAGCAATGGTAGCACGCCTCCGTTATCCTCAGGACAAATTATTCCGACGACTATCAGTATCGTCTCACCAACGCTAACACCGCCACCACCATACGCGAGGTAAGAATACTCGTGAATCCTTTTGGTTGCATCCACGCCTTGAAACATGGATAACCAATGTTAACTTGCAATAAAAAAACATTATTATGTATACAATATAATATATTATAGGACCGTATATGTGTGATAACACAAACTATAAATCAAAGCCTTAAACATCTAACTGGATCTTAAATGTTTATATAATTCTTGTGTAAATTTATATACTACGTATGTAATTCCCAGAAACGCACGCTGAAATGATTTTTCGGTCTTGAAAACGCTAACTTTACTAAACTACTGCAGTAATATCACGAGTTAAATTGACTAGCAATTTAACAAATTTTTGATGCTTATTCGCATCTTTGAAACAATCTTAATAATGTTGAATATTAAAATCTGTAAATAATTAATCTTATTACGAAAAATATTACCTCGAATTCGGATCTCTTGTATTTTGTGCGATTATTATAAATTTTTCTTTATTTACACTTCTCTTTTTCGAAATCAGTAAAATTGATTAATCACTTATTTCATGTTACAAGTATTTCGTATTTTATTTTACCCGTAACTAGAATATTTAGATCTTGGTGATTTTAAGAATAATTTTAAAAAACACTATTTTCTGAAAAAAATTTTCAACGTGTATTTATATTTAAATTAGGAGTGATAAATTTTACTATTATTTTATTTACAAATAATCATATATCATAGATTAAGGCCCAGTTTTATCAATGTAAAATCAACTTTAATCTCGGTTTAACTTATTTTTTAAATTTTTCTAATTCTAAGAATTCTTAGAATTTTTGGAATTAAAGAAAGACGAAGATTAGAGTAAATTGAATTAGGAATTGAAATCAATCTTACATTGATGAAACTTAAAAATACATAATTCAATTTCAAAAATTCAACAAAATAAAACTAAAACAAAAACTTCCCACGTAGTAAGTGGTTCCCACGTATTCTTTTTAGTGGGAACAAAAAATATGTGTTTCTCTTACGAGTTAATTATTCATTTTATGTTGTAATCACGATACTAATTATACGCGATTGTGTGAAAAAATTATATTAATAAAATCTTTAATTAAATACGGCAGAGTACTTTTAAATTTGTAAGACGAGCAGTCTCTCGAATGATTTCTTTTTGTTCCAGGTGAGATTAAAGTGTTGAAAATAGAGACCAATGAATACGCAGGTCTACGACGTGAATGGAAAATCGACGTACACCGTTGTCAATTGCGAAGAGCGATCACGTTTTGTGGACTGCGAATAATACGATCATACGACAATTCCGTTGTTTGCTCTTGTCGTTATGAGATGTATAACGTATACGTATAGCTGCAAGATGTGCAAGATGTGAAGGAGAGAAAGTTGAACCATTCAAAAAACGCTCAATGTTACCATGATCAAGAATTGAGAGAAGATCTCTTCGCGATGCCTCAGATATATTTATCAATTGCTTAGATTATTATCTATTAAACACTGCGAACTCTGATGGCACTGACATCGTTCAGTGCTTAGAATGATTAATTCTTCCTTTGTAACTGCGTTACTGTATTTCCTATCACGAATCCAGAAAAAAAAAAACAGAGAATCGTTTAACAGATTCCGTTTTAATTATGGCAATATCCGAGTTTATTCAACGCGGCCTAAGACTTGCGGTTACTTTCAAATTATATCACGAATCCAAACTTCGCTTTATTATTTCTCGAAAGTCAGATGGATCTCTCATGGAATCGCGCTCATTTTAAAAAATTAAGAACGCCTAAAGGTGATACGTAACGACATACTGACACACAGTGCACAATTGCAAACATACAAGTCTATACATATCGTACTTCTTTCAATGTAATCCAATAATCGCGTCTCAATGAGAATCTATCTGCGATGAATTATGTCATAGCGACCGCGATTTCTATCAACTGCGCTATTGCTCGGCCGTATTGTAACCGCGAGAATGAAGTAACGACTTTTGACAGTCAGATGTTTCGTTCAGCTTGCGGTCGACTGTTCATTTAATTTAACGATTCCAGTCGCGCCTGATTGACGCCGATCTGCAGAAACGGTGGTCTCTTAAAGTCAATTGACGAAGCAAACACGTGTTTTCTAGAATATGTATTTTTAATTCATCGTGATCGTGAGTTATTTCGGAAGTGACGTGAAAAAAAAAAATTGACGGAATCACGTAAAATAAGTAAATCGCATCGATTTATCCCTACATAATACAATGTAATATTTAAAATTCATCGTGTTCCAATATTGATCCACGTCACTTTCGAAATAAGCAGCTCAACTATTCACTATTAAGTCCACGTGACTTTTATATATATATACGATGGGAAATGTTCGCGATAGATTTTCTCACTCCGGGACACTGTCGGGATCGCAATGCGCGTTTGAATAGAGGTTCGCGTCCCACGATGATTCGGAGAGGAATCACAGTAATAGAGCATTTAGACGCGTTGCAAACTCAGCTGCGCGCATAATTTACTGAAGAATGATCTTCTGCCATATCTCAGTGTCTATTATTTAAATACATACACACGCGCGCACAGCACACTCATGCGAAAGCCGTTCGCACGTCCATTTTATTGTGATATATACTGTTATACATATACATACGTATAGATATAATTATGATGCAACACTGTCGAATGCAATGGCGATGCGTAAAGTAAGATTTTTTTATATATCGAAAATGCAAATACAAAATACGAAATTTTTCTACGGCAAGTTTCTTCTCAAGATTGTTCTCTTGTTCTCATGTATCCTCCTTTTATATCATTGTTTCCTGCTAAATGTCATATCGTGTAGAAGATCGCGTATTATTTATCTATCTTGCTTACATTATCTTCCATTTAACGTAATATCAGCGTTATAAAGTTATAAAGTTATAAAGCTCTGATAGAGCCACTTCCGTTTTTAAATTAGCTCTTCTTTTTCTATCTCATATAAATCATATAACATATCGTGCTTCTTATGAATATTATGAATAGGCATTAAAAATATTTCATTTAAATATAATATAATATGTGAAAGGAGAAATAATTAGTATTCATCGATAAATACCCTTTATTCAATCGGAGTAACATTTATACTTACTTAAAGCATGTTATTGAACTTATATACCTGTAGATTTTTATTAACGGCAACAATCATAATCGTAATAGTGACGAAAACGTAACGATAATAGTGATAATAAATTGATAATAATAATAATAATAATAATAATAAAATAATATTGATAATAATAGCAATAATAACAATAATACTCAAGACTAGTAGATGATAATGATGTACCATAATGAATATTGCAGACTTAATATTAATTGCGACGCAACAGAACTGAAGTTAGGTATTCTGTTGCAAAGTCAAAATGTAACTGTTGATTGTTGGTTATCTGTTTTTCACTCTCATTCTTATCTCCTTTTTTTTACATGCCAATTGCGCTAACTCGAAATAAGAAAAGAAATATTTTAGTACGACAGTGACGATGTAATTATAATGACAATGATAGTGACAAGAATAATTATAACGTCGAGATTATTCGTAATTGTCGGTCGACTATCGCTATCTGTAATTTGTTATTACTCTCACTACACGGTGGTTGGTTAAAGTATATTTACTTCTGCACGCAACTTCTTCCATCTCATCAGCATCTCAGACAAACAATTAATTTTCCCTTCTCTTTATATACATTATCTGATACACATAATAGCGAACATAATATAATTTTAACATAATGCAGCTTCAAATCGGCAAAATCACTGATTGTACGATCGACATGTTTGCTATTTTACAATGATCCATATCTTATGATTTTACAATCTTGACGTTCCCAATTCATATATGATTATAATTTAAAGAGAGAAAATAAGAATGTTAAAATTAAATTATTTAAACATTTATGATATATTGAGAACGTTTTTCTTGGCAGTACAATTAATATTAAATATAATGAATATATCAATTGTATGATACATAATGATAAGCGCCTTATTAACAAATTCTTCCTTTTAATTATATCTATATTTCTATTTTAATAATATGTTTTCCATTTTGTTTTTCAGGCGTTATATTGTTAAAATAATAAAAGTTTCTTGCATGTCGATCGATCGATTTACACGTGTAAAAAGTTTTAGGTGTAAAAAGTCACCAGCGAAAACCAAAATTCTGGCATGTTCTGTAGTAATAATAACACTCATACAGCTCCAACGAGAAGCAATGACTCTTACGATTTAGAGCCGGTTTTCGATATTTACAAATTCCATTTGCATTTCTCGTTCCATCAGCAAAACAAACGTATAAAATAAATAAAAACACAATATATCAACAAAAACAATAATAACCGCGCCGATACAAATGTACACGTGTCTCACGATGCGGTCATAGGTGATCACGAATATACAGGGGAGAGAATGTGATACATTCCGAAATTATAACACATACGAATGAATATCCTCCGACCGAATTGGTCGCGACGTATCATGAAGGAACGCGAAGCTCGATCCTTCTTTGTGTCCTTGATGAAACGATCGAGACTTGATCATTTGCCTCGAACAAGCATAAATTCGACAGAACATCGGACTTACGATTGACAGCTGTTAATGAAGAGGCCATGTATGACCTCGTGAGCATTATTCTTTCCTTTCCTCTCTCTCTCCTTCCTCTCTCTCTCTCTCTCTCTCTCTCTCTCTCCCCCTCCCTCTCACTCTCTCTTTCATCGTCCCACCAAAATCGCAGCTCATTATCGCCAGCGATTTTTGTCCTTATAATAATTGTATATCTCTGTGACTATGTACAGCCTATGGACAACACGCATCGCACTTTTCTTTCTTATAGATTCGATTATATTATATATAAATATGTTGGTATACTTCGTGACTATATTTTATCGACAGTAGTAAGAGTAATGGTAGCAATAATGACGATTGAATTAGTCGCTAAAAACAATCTGGCTGATTGTAATAGTTACAGTAATAGTAATAATAATAATCATAATGATGAGATGATGATAATAATAATAATAATAATAATAGTGACTAGCTGGTAAATAGTTAGTCGATAAATTGGTTTATATGTAGCTTTTGGATTTTCATCAGCAGAGAAACGTCATTGATGGACGCACCGTTGTATGTCCTCGTCGTCCGTAAAGTCGCGCGCTGACCTCGCTTAAACGGCAATAACAGTTACACAGCGTTAAGTGGCAAGAATCCGATATACAGCTAAATGAATCATTTTTACACGACTTATAGAGCGACTTAACCATCAATCTGTCGAATAATATATAAACGCAATTTCTCCCGTTGTGTATGTACATAAGCGGCGATAGCGGCCGCCATTAATCATGATACTTGACGTAGACATCGTTATGTACAAAAGATATATCGCTACGGGGGCCAACGTCGCCCCCCCCCCGTAAACAATAGTCCGTTTAGTTTAGTTCGATTGCCCCAATGGAGTCGTCATACCGGTGCGGTGGTTAGATGCCGTTATAGCGTTTCCTAAGCAAGCCTACGAGCCGGTCGTCATGCTCGACCGGCCACGACGACTTTCACCGACAATCGTCACCTGACGATCGCATGTGCAATGATCGCAAGGTTGACGTCGCCAAGTGACGTAGTCCGAAATTCACGCGAGCGATGTAAGTACACACGTAGATACGTATGTGACGCACGGTCGGATTCTCCACAATATCCGGATGAGTCACACGCGTCACGAAGCCGGGTTTCTTCTAGGTCAATAGGCCGATCCGCGGTGCTCAGTCACGATCGACGCAGTTCCCTATCGTGCGTCCTCGTGTCGATTTATATGTGTCTACATTTTCATGGGAACTGGGCACCGTTCTCTCGCACCGTTCCGTTCACTCGTAGTATTCAGTGGACGAGAGCGGAACGACTTGCGATCCGCGTCACGAATACGCCGGATCGCTTGATCGCGCGAGTCCCAAGAGCGACGCTCAGTACCAGATCGTCGATCTTTAAGGATGGTCTCAGATGGGTGTCGGCAGGACCGTGAAGTCCTGCAGGGCGGTCTTCACCGTCTCGTAAATCGGCCGGTTGCTCTCGTCAGCGCAGTAGCCGTCGGCGGTGCACAGAGTCTGCAACTTCGTCAGGTAACTATCGAAGTTCTCATGGCCTATTTTCTCCTGCGGTCCGCCCGGGGCGTTCGGTATTCGCACTTGCTCCAGCAGAGTGATCATGTTGTCGCGTAGCGATTGATAGTACTCGGTCAAATTATTGTTACGCTGAGTTATCGTTGTCGTTTCCTGCAAAAAGAAACATGTCTGTGAAAATATATTATTCTAGAGCCACCAGTTTCTAAAGCAATAGAACCACTACAGAGGGTATGTTCCGAGTTATGCATGAAGCGCATGATTTTATCGTTCTCTATTTGGTGAATAACAAGAACAAATGATGCATCATGCGCTTCATACGTAACTGGGTACTCAGAGCCATCATAGAACTGATAAATTACTCTGCTAGCAAAATTTAAAATGAAATATTCACAAATTCTTTTTAATATGCGAAATAACCCAGTAAACAAGCTGACGTTATTTGTCGTTATTTTAACACATTTTGAACAGTGCCTATTCCCTCGAGCTCTTCTATTTGCTTCTAATGTACTTTTAAATTAGGAAATTGTAATATTAAAAAATTTTTGTAACGTTAATTTGTTTGCTGGAAGATTGATCAACTACCGATTAGTTTACTTATATAATATCAGCATACGGTTAATAAAAAAAATTAGTTAATTTAGTTACTATTAATATATTATTTTATATATATATATTATATATATATGTGTGAATAAATTTTCTATAAAACAATATCACGAAAAAAAATTATTTAAACAACATACAACGTAATATACATTATCTTAGAATGGTATTAGAATTGAGTAATAATTTAGCTTTCAAAATGAAATTGGATTTTGCGATTGCGATAAGGCCAAAGCGATTAGCTTAAAAGCACAAAGATTTGTCTAAAATTAACAAAGTTTCTATTTTTACATATGCAATTGTTTGTTATTTAATTATTCGACACACGGTATACTACCGACTGAGCAAATACTGACCTTTTCTCCCTGCTTGAGCTGATTCTCCATGGCGGTGATATCCGAGCGCAAGCGCAAGACCTGCGACTCGACCCGGGCGTTCTCTCTCTGGAGCTCGGTGATTTCAGCCTCCAGTGTGTAGAGATCCTCGCTCTGGACACCGGCGGTCCCGCTACCGCTCGAGTTACCCTGACCCGTGCCTACCGCACCCCCGTGAGCCGGACCACCGGCTTCCAACCCTAGAGACAGGACAGACACGGTCCAGTTTGATCGAATGTCCGTTTTACGGTCGAAAGAGAGATTATATCATATATTTCCCGATTTCCAGAGAATCGGTTTCATCCGCAATCAAGCGTGCACGGCGCGATTCGTACGCCCTTTCGTCTAAATGCGAAATGCCCTAATATGTGATACGTAACAAATGGAAAAACTACTGGAAACTGAATGGTCACAACTTGAATTCCCGACGGAAGTTCGTACGAATTTAAAATACAAGCGTTTTGACGGGTCTTACTTTTTTTTTCTTTTTTTTTTCTTTTTTCATTCACGATCGGAAAGCGTTAGATCGAAATATTCGAACAAGGATTTACGGGATTTTATGCGGTACAAGTGGAAATATAGCGAGCATTTAAAATTTACGTTAAGGATCGGTTCAGGCAGCGACTTAGGTGAAGCGG